TCTTCTTCCTACCCTTCTTCCAAGGACTCCATGAATGCATCAGGTTCTCATTAGAAAGATCATTAATCTAGGTATCAGGAGAATTGTATTCCCACCCCAATCCTGTTACTAACTGTTGATCTTGATAACATTATTGCCTCTCTAAATATTTTGTCATCTGTAAATGACAGTTAATAATATTTATAGCAATTTTTGCTCTGCTTATCTCATTAAATTATTTTGAGGATGATAGGAGGTAATATGTGTTCAAGAATAAAATAAACTGTAAAGTTTGTAAAGCTCTTTACCAACATAAGAATTAGGAAGATATAGCTTTACAAAATAGTGTTGCCTGTGTACATGTCTGCCTCTCTACTTTTGAGGTGAACTCCTTGAGGGAAGGGAACAAGTATGCTTCCTTCACCACTGCATCCCTAGTGATGAGCATGGTACCCACTATCTGGTAGGCAGTTGATAAAGATGTGTTCAATGGATGCTATATGTATGAATGCTTGAATGGACAATTGAAGGAGCAGCCTCAGGATGCACTATTTAGAAAGCAAGTAGGCACTTCAATTCCTGGCATCTTAGGTGCAGATAATCTGGACACCATCGTGACAGCTAACATTTATTGAACTCTAGCTATAGGCAGACATTGTTCTAAGTGCTTCATTTTACATAAATTGAATCATATATATTCTTATAACCAACCTATGAAGTCACATTCAACACTATCCCTGCTTTTTCCAGCTCTCACCTGTATTGTTAAGTTTGGAAGTACATTTCCCACACTCGTTTGTCAGTAAAGTTCAGTTTTGGATTCTGCCCATGAGAGGCACCTGCAGGAAACTTGGCAAGCAGAAAGGAAGTAGACACCATCGTTGCTCTTCCTGACATCTTGTTTAGGTGTGTGTGCTTGATCAGAAAAGATTTAAGTGACTTCTGAGCATTCTCCTGTGAAACATCTGCTTCAGTGACGTCATTAGCAGCAGTTTCCTAACAATCTCTAAAATTTCCCATGATTCCTGCAATTCCAACAACTGTCTCATTTTGCTGGCAGTTCCCTTACCTTTTCTCTCATAGCCCTTCCAAAGGCTTTGTAGGCCCTTAATTCTCTGTGTTAAATGCCTTCCTGAAATAACTATAGAGTAGTTTCTGTTTGCCTGATCAAAATCTGAGTGCGACACTTTACAGGAGAAGAGACCAAAGCAGAGGGTAACTTGAGTGAAGAAGTGGCAGAAGGAAGGACTGAATCTAACCAGCTTGGTCCCAGGGCCTGTGCTCTAAATAGTTATACTCCACTGCCTCTCTTCGACTGAAAACCCAAATCCTATGAATGGGGCACTGTATCTTTTTCTGAAATCTCCATGAGTATTTCAATGGAAATGATCGTTTGGAGCCTGCTTTTCAGTTTGTAAACTTTCTTCTCAACTTTTGACAGAACCACCTTAGTTTCAACACAGTCTTTCCATCTTACTTTCCAGGGTGAAGCAAGGTAAGCTTCACTACTCAGCCATTGGGGATGGGGAGTAGGGAGGAGTCCAGTGGAAGGGTTCATGGGATCCTTGTGATTGATCAGGCAGAGAAGCACTACTCAATCTCAGGAGTTTTCAAAAGCCCAGCATCGATTTCATTTCACAACACCCTCACAGAGTTCATTTTTATCTTTAAAATAAATTAATATCAGTGTAAAATTAGATAGCCTCTAGAGTTAGTGCTTAGAAACTGAATGTTAATGCTGGAAGGGCCAGAGCTGTGTTAACTAGCTGCCGTGTTTGCCTTCTTTTTCTTTTTTTTCTTTTTTCTTTTTTTTGAGACGGAGTCTTGCTCTGTCGCCCAGGCTGGAGTGTGGTGACCGGATCTCAGCTCACTGCAAGCTCCGCCTCCCGGGTTCACGCCATTCTCCTGCCTCAGCCTCCCTAGTAGCTGGGACTACAGGCGCCCACCACCTCGCCCGGCTAGTTTTTTGTATTTTTTTTAGTAGAGACGGGGTTTCACCGTGTTAGCCAGGGTGGTCTCGATCTCCTGACCTCGTGATCCGCCCGTCTCGGCCTCCCAAAGTGCTGGGATTACAGGCTTGAGCCACCGCGCCCGGCGCCTTCTTTTTCAGTCAAAGCTAACATTTAAAGTCAGAGAGGTAGATCTATATATATTGATCTGGAGGAATGTTCATGATATATTGTCAAGTGGAAAAGGCAAGTTGCAGAGTAAATTGATGATATGCTTGCATTTTTTTTAGAAAACAAGAGAAAGCCCTATATAAAATAACACCTGGATGCAGAATGTTAAAACTAGAGAGGTCCTTAGGTAGCTAAACACAATCTTCCTGTTATATTGATGTGCAAGTTTGAAGGCCAGAGAGAGATATAACTAAGGTTACACAGCTAGTTAGTAGCAGAATCAATTCCATAGCCTTCATCTCCAGACTCTACTATGTCACTCTGTCTGTAGGCTGTGCCCATACCAACAAGTCAATAAAGGGAGAAAGAACCTAGTGACGTAGCTATACTCTTTTGTAGTAGAGAGACCATTACTGAAAATGAGCATCTCATTTTAAGCTGTAAACCAACATATACTAAAGAGTGGAATATTTTTCCCTCCAAAGGCAGAATCATTAAAACCTATACTTTTAATATTCCACCTGATTTCTGAATTTTCCTCTATGCAAAGGCACTCTTTGATTCTTTTAATATTTCATTGATTGTGCCAGTTTATGTTTATTTCACAATGTTTGCTTGAAAGGTTTATCTTGATAGTAAGGAACATTTTGCACAAAGCATGAGACTTACCCTAATACCTACCACAGTGCCTGCCTTAAAGTAGAAACCTAATGTTTGTTAAATGGATAATTAAAGATAGAATTCATTTGCCTTTTTCTGAATTTTTTTCTTTCTTGATATTAAAACATATTCCAGAGATGAAGAGTACCGTGTACCTTTAAAAATGTATGCAATTTGAATAAATCTTGCATTTGTTTTGAAATTAAGCTGTTTTGAAATTAAGCTGTTTTGATAAGTGGCTTATTCATCTTCAATTATTTTTCATTTAGTTAGTAAACATGTGAGACAGTCTCCTTGTATCCATGGTACTCCCTTTGCAACACCATACAATGTCACATCAGCCCCCAGCAGTCACGGTAAGAGGAACACACTGAGTATCTGTTTGCTCAGCAGTGCTAGGTACTGTGTATTTTATTTTTTGCTACCTGTTTGTGTCTGGTTCTTCACAAACAGGTAGAAAAGGCTGCTTGGGAGATGACTTCATCATGTGTGGTAGAGCCCCAAAATAAAGTGAGACCAGAAGACAGGATATCTGGGTCTTCGTTCTAGATCTGCTTCCAAACAGTTTCATGATCTTGGGAAATTTACTCCACATTCAGTGAGGCTCAGATTTCTCATCTAAAATCAGTTATCTGTAATAGATGATTGTTTATCAAAACCTTTCCTTTTAGTTTTAGAATTCCCTTTTCAAATGAAAGAGCTCACAGGAAACGACCCCCCATGAGCAGGCTCCAGGCACCACAATTAAGTCCCCAAAAACGATATAAATCAAGATTTGAAAAACGTTGCATTATGTCCATCAATAGAAAATGGGTTTTTAAGATGTGGTTAATGTGTACAAATAAGTATTATTCAGCAATAAAAAGGAACAAATTACTGATACATGCAACAATACAGATGAATCTCAAAAGCAGGCTGAGTGAGAGAACCCAGACACAAAGGAGTACAGACTGCATGATTTCATTTATAGTCAATATTTAAAAAAACAAAAACTAACGTATAGTGAAAGAAATCAGATCACTGGTTGCCAGGAATTAGGGGTAGAGGGAGGAAGGGATGGGTTACAAAAGGGCAAAAGGAAACTTCTGTAGGTAATGAAATTGTTAGGTAGCTTGATTGTTGTGGTGATTCTGTGAGCATTTGTCAAAACTCATAGAATTGCACACTGTAATTGGACAAAGTTTATTATATACAAATTATGTCATGATAAAGTGGATTAAAATATCACTACATTAATCATCTCTAGGGTTTCTTATGCCTTTAGATATAGTAAGTGGGATCTGGAATCAACCAGACCTAGATTTAAGTACTGGTTCTGTGGCCATGGGCAAATCACTCAGTTTCCCCACTTCTAAATATGGATGGAAAATAGTGCCATGGCATTGAACCACTGTGCGAACTCTATGTGATAATAGATATAGAGAGATTCGCTCAACACCTAGCATATCATAAGTTCTCAATAAATGGTAGCTGCATTTAGAATTCTATGATTCCAAATAATTTTACAGACTTAGTTTTACAAGTTCAGAGGTGGCATATATATGATCTAAATTCTAATTTTGACTCCACTATCAATTATGTATGACTTTAGATGAGTCTCAATGTCTACTCTGTTTCCTCATTGTTAATACAGGGGGAAATTGTGGTGGTGTTCTTACCAACTCCATAGGAAAATTAGGAATATAAAATAGACTAATAGATTAGAAAGATGTTTTGAAAAACAAAAAGCAAAGATAAAACACTCTACACAGATGTAGGAAATAGTTATGATAATTTTTCTCATGATTCCAAGATTAAGTGGAACAAGGAGATTGTGCTTACGTAACAGGGCTTACCTTCAGTAAAGTTGTAAAGTTTCTGACATTTGTCTTCTGGCCTTTTATTATACCATTCTTTGCCTTATTTTCTAATTTCAGTTATGCCTCACTCGCTGTCAACAGTTATAGAAGGTTCTCTTGCTGTATAGGTCTCTTCTGTCAGTGATAAATTTACTCTGATAAGTTCATTTACCTGAAGGTGAGTAACCTAATGGGTAGCCACTAACAATATTCTACGTAAAGAAAGAGCAAAAATAATACCTCTAATGGCAATTCGACTCTCAGTAGGAATAATATTTGGGGTGGGAGCACTTCCTGAAGCTTCTTATATGTCAATCACTTCCAAAGATAAAGTTACATCCTTTAAACCATTTTCTCCATCGGGGATGATGTGTTATTTTAGACATTTAGAAGCAAAGAAGGCTTATGTCCTTTTCAACATAACTTTCCTTATTGCCCCTTTAACATCTTTGTTTCTCAGGCTATATATCAGGGGGTTCAGCATGGGTGTCAAAGCTCCATAAAACACTGAGATAAACTTGTCCTGGTCAGGGGAGGAGTTGGACTGAGGTTTCATATACATGGAGATGGCTGCCCCATAGAAGATTGTCACCACGGTCAGGTGAGAGCCACACGTGGTAAAGGCCTTGAGCCTGCCCTGGGCTAAGTGAATCTTTATGACAGCCATAGCAATTCGTACATAGGAGAGGAGAACAAACCCAATGGTAGCAGCAGGGTGAAGACACTGGTGATGAGGATCATAAGTTCATTGAAGCTGGTATCAGAACAGACCAGCTTAATGAGGGAGAGAATCTCACAGACAAAATGGTTGATGACATTAGCCCCACAGAAGTGAAGCCTCAGGGATAGGATGAGCATGGCAGTGAGCACAAGTGATGTCCCCCATGAGGTAGCAGCCAAGCAGACACACACTGGGCCATTCATAAACCACTGAATAACGCAGGGGATTGTTGATAGCAACCACACGGTCATAGGCCATGGCAGCCAGTAGGAGGCACTCTGCTGTCGCCAAAGCCAAGGAGACACTCATTTGAGTCAGACACCGGGGATAAGAGAGGTAGGGATGGGTAGAGAAACAATGCACCAAAGCCTGGGGCATGGAAGCTGTTCCATAGCAAAGGTCTAAGAAAGACAGGTTACTAAGGAAGAAGTACATTGGAGTGTGGAGGTTGGGGTCAAAGTGAATAAGAAAGATCATAAATCTGTTCCCCAACAATGTGTTGAGGTAAATTATCAGCACCAATGTGAAAAACATGTCTCTCCATTGAGGATAGTTAGAAATGTCAATAAGGAGAAATTGAAACACTGCTGTGACATTGTCCATGTCCATCTTTCCTTCTTGCCACTATTCATTAAATGGATGCCAATTGGCTACTTAATGTTACCTGAAAGAATGAGAATAAAGATGGAGGATGTGAGAAAGGTGGAAAGATTTAGGGTGTGCAGGATCATTATCTTTGTCCTTTTCAGAAGAATGGGACACCAATGGAATAGATATCTATAATGGCGACAGAGGCAAGGCCAGATATCCCCCCCTCAATCCTAAGAAAATGGAAAGTTCCTTACCTTTTTGAAAATAGTTATATGAAAAGTTCTCCAGCCCTCCTCCACCAGAGGTCTTCTTGAATAATGTTTCCTAAGAAAACAGGAAAGGTAGGCCATCTTCCTGACTTTCTCACTTTATTTTCCAAGATAAATCTGATATATAGACATGGTTGAATCTCAGTTAGCTTGAGTTACTAATCTCAACCAACAGGGTGCCTTCTGACACATGTCTTAGCTAAAATATTGTCTATGTTTGGGATGTCTCTCACTCCTAGATTGTGCATGCCTTCATTTTTCCATACTTCCAGAATTTACCATGGTGCCTGACATAGAGAAGGTGCAAGGTAGCTCTTTGACCTGAGCTGATACTATGTGGATGGAGTAGTAAGGTCTGGGAGGACCCTCTACTAATATCCCCTGCTGAAGTTACATTTCTAGCTTCTCCTACATTTTCTACTCTGTTGTTGTTGAGCCCCAGGCAGGAGTATGAAAATTGAACATGATTTTTCTAAAAGTGTGGGTGGTAAGGAGAGGGTCTGAGTATGCAACCTCACTGAAAAGGCTCTCTTATCCCATCCTCACCGATCTCTTTCCCCTAGCCCTGCTTCATTTATTATAACACATTCTAATATCTGAAATTATATTAATAATTTGATTCCTTGCTTATTATTTGTCTTTCACTCAAACGTGAATTTAATAACAGAGCCCTTGTCTGCTGTTTACTGGTGTATTCCTAGAATATAGAACAGTACCTGGGGGATCACAAGAACCCAACAGATAGTAAATGAATATATAAAGTCCTAAGCATTCAGAGCTATTATCCAGAATCTACCTACTCCTCTTGCCACTTGCACTGCCATTCGTTATTCCAAGGCATCATCATCACTCACCTGGATTTTTCCAGTAACCTCCTCATTGGTTTTCCTGTTTCTGGTCTTCTTCCCATTCAGTTCAAATGATTCAGTTGAACTGTAAGTGAAATCAGGTCACTTTTCAATTAAAAAATTTATTCTATTTTTATTGAAATATGACTGATATACGAAAAGGTACACATATTTTATGTATACATCTTGAGTTTGAAGGTAAGTATATACTCATGAAACGGCCACCATAAATAATGCCGTAAATATAACAAACATCCCTAAAAGTTTCCTCCTTCTCTCTTTTATCTTTGAAATAAGAACACTTAACATAAGACCTACTCTTTTAATAAAATATAAGTATACAGTATCATATTGTTAACCATAGATTCTCATTTCAACCTCACTAAACACCAGTCTCCTTACTATGACCTATGAGGCCCTATATGGTTTGCCTCCCAATCACCTCCTCTCTGAACGCACTTCCTACCACTCTTTCCCTTGCTCACTTTGCTCCAGTCACACTGGCCTCCTCACCATTCTTCAAATACTCAAAGCCCATCCCTTTCACAGAGCCTTTGATCCTGCTGTTCTGCATTTGTGAAAAACTTGCTACTCCATATTTATGAAACCCAGATCCTTGCACAGCCCACCTTCTCAATTCCCTCAGGTTTTTACTCACAAGGCATCTTTTCAGCGTATCCTTCCTGGGTCACCTCGTCTAGGAATTCATCTCCAGCCCCTGAAATTGTATTACATCCTTTCTGGGTCACCTCCTCTGGTAGTTCATTTCTAGCCATTGAAATTTTATATCCCCCTTTCCTGCATTATTTTCTCCTTAGAACTACATCTAGCGTACTGTATGGCTTATCTATTAATTTTGTTTATTGCTTGTCTCTATCAACTAGAATGTATGCTCAATGAGATCAGGGTTTTTCTATTTTCTTCATTGCTGTGTGCCCAAAATGTAGATGAGTACTTAGATAGGAGCTCAATGATTATTTGCTGAAGGAATGTGTGAATGGAGTTCTTTCGCTGTTCCTTATTGAAAGGTAACCTCTCTTTTTCCATCTGCCTCTTCCCTTGACATTACTGTTTGTATGCTAAGCACCCCTTGATGTATATGTGTTTCTCCATGAGACTAACTCACATTTTCTTTCTAATCCCCTCCTTGAAGCTTCTGCTACTCACTTGCTATGTCTCTAGACAAGTTTCTTCCCCTTACTTATCTGAATTTTTATTTCTAATCTTGTTAAACTAAATTATCTCTAAGGTCCCTTCTAGTTTTAACAAGCTAGGATTCTCGACTTCCCACAGATAAAGAAAAAAAGAACTTACTCCTCAGAGTATTGAAATGTGTTACATTTTTCTCCTTTGTTGGAGAGACATGTAGGCTAGAGAAGGGGTTTCGTAAGAAATGAAGTATCCCTAATCATCTCTGAAATGGGAAACTCACTTGTCCTTAAAAGTGTCTTTTTTTTTTTTTAAGACAGAGTCTCAGTCTGTCACTCAGGCTGGAGTGCAGTGGCGCCGTCTCAGCTCACTGCAACCTCCATCTCCTGGGTTCCAGTGATTCTCCTGCCTCAGCCTCCCAAGTAGCTGGGATTACAGGTGCCCACCACCATGCCCGGCTAAGTTTTGTATTTTTAGTAGAGACGGGATTTCACCATGTTGGCCAGGCTGATCTCAAACTCCCGATATAGGTGATCCGCTCGCCTCAGCCTCCCAAAGTGCTGGGATTACAGGCGTAAGACACCGCTCCTGGCCCTTAAAAGTCTTTAAGAAAGAAAATTTCCTAACGTTTCCCTTCCACGTCGTGGCCTTCTAGTAAGCTATCCCTGTGTCACACTGTCTACTTTTTTCAGCCTATCAGATAGGCTAGGTGCACAACGAAGGTAAATCCACATATCCAGGAAAGTGTTTGCTATTTGTGAAGAGGGAAACAAATGTAAGGGATGGAGAGGGTGGTGACCTGGCTTCACAGGAGTGCCCTCAGAGCTTGAGAAACCTAACACTGCCGCTGTCTTCATTTATCATAGCACCCCAAGATAGAGATTTTGCCTTGGCCTGCCTCTACCTTTCCAGGTGAAAATTGAGAAAATCATCCCTACAGAGTGAGAACATACACGTATATGAGTCAAATGGCTGCATGAAACAATGCCCCGAAGCCTGTTCTATTTTAAGTTAGTATAGTCACATCTTACATTTTTTTGGAATATTTTGGAGTATATTTATCTCCCAATTATCTACATATGGGTCATTCGCAGTGGAATATTTAATGAGATAATGGGCCGGCCACAGATGGGACGGTGAACTGGTTTTGCATTGAAGTGGAGGACTGATTATTATGCCATTTAAAACTACCTGTTGCTCCTAGAACTCTATAAAACACACTGCTTTTGCTGTCGAATATTAAATATTGATAAAATAGATGTTTTTCCTCCTTATATGAATCTGTCATTCCCAGTGAGCCACAGGATGTATTTCGTTTTTCCAGTATTGAAGGAGGGTTTATAAAGTGTCTATCCCTCAGTCCCTCATGAGCCCAGTAGAATAAATTGAAGAGCCATTTGCCTAAAAATTGGTGATCAGTCTCTGGCTGTAAGATCGACTTATTTTTTAAATGGGGTTAAACTTGCTGGTAGAGATTGGGGTTGAACACATGACCTTGCCCCCATTAGTACCATGTTTGGACCCATAGAACTAAAATTGATGACAATTTCCGTCTCAGACTTAAGGGCTACTCAGCATCTAAATTGAGGGGACTATTTTTCGTTTAGTCTAGGCCCTGCCCTCCAAAGACAGTGCTGATTGCCTCATTCTAGAATTACCATTAAAAAATTCCTGGCAAACTGAACCCAGCATGTTTCCCATCTTAGTCCTGTTACCTGCAATTATTTATTTATATAGCATAACTTTCCTTTTAACTAATACTTGGCTCTTGTCTTCTTGGAGATTGACCATCCCAGATAGATGGTTAAAGACGCAAGAAAAGGAGGAAAGGAGAAAAGAAAATAAATGAAAACCTTGTTCTGTTACCTACTCACCAATGGAGGTCACTCTCAAGTATCAGTAGATGGAACAGAATGGGCTGCCCAAAAGAACAATTCTCCAAGAGTTGCCAGGTTTAGCACTGTGATGATCTCCCTGCAAATTTCCTGGCAACATTTCAAAAGCCTTCCCAGCTTCTCAAACTCACAAATGCCTAGAAACCCCTGAAGAAGGAATATTCTTTTAGATTAGGTCAAATCTCAATCGACAAACCCTTTGATCTGCAGCCCTTGCTAATGATATCTAATTAAATTATTTAATGTCTTAGACTAACATTTCTTTCAATGGCATTTGACCCACATACAACCTTATTCAATCTTCCCTAGAAAAGTTATGACATATAGAGGATTGAGGTCATTTGAATGCTCTGCATCAAGACCCTTAGGTTATTTCAATTTGCAACCTTCTAGCTTAGACATCCATTGCCTCTTGGCAATATTTATCTATGTATTATCTTATCTCTGTGAAATGGAATCCAACTAAACCAACTTGTCACTTTCTTAAAAAAAGAAAAACAATAACAAAACATTCTGTACCCAGGGCTTTAAACTAAATTAGATGATGCCTAGGAAAGGTCCTGGGCTCTGTACATATCCTACCCAGTTTCCTTCTCTTTCTCCACAACCTCTTCTTAGTATTCAGTAGTAAAAATATATAATTTCATACCCACAAGATCCTGTGCATCCCTCAATCGGCAAAAAGATCTAATATCAGTCACTCTACCTGCCCACTAAGGCTGAAGAATAGACTCAAGCATTTCAAAAGCATTATACTGGAGTTGAAACAAAAAAAATGTCTGGATACCCCTCATTTACCTAGAAAATATAACTGACCAGAACTTGCCTTTCATTGAGCAGTTTGGTTTGTAGAAACT